CCTCGAAATGGAAGTGAGCTCAACAATGGTAAACTAAGAGCTAGCTCGAAACCTTTACATGACCAGGTTATAATTCAAGTATTTCTGATAATTTCGAAAGATAGTCTTATCACAAATAAGTAATATCGTTAGTTGCAACGGCCGTATCGACAATTCCACTCTAAATGCAACTTGAGATAGAACTGGACTAATTTGTTTAGCTGAGTTATGACATACCTCCGTGAAGCTCACGCATTGGTAAAGAATCCAGTTTAAGGTGCCAATGTGAAAGTGGTTGAGAGCAATTTGATGGCATCGTGAAGCTTACAAAAAGCAGTGTGGAAAAATTTCGCTATCAGTCAGACATAATCTTACGCGACCTAGAGTGACTGAATTCACAGCACAACTTCAAGCAAAGCTGTCGTATAAGCTTCAGAGTTTTTAAGTGGTCAACTTTTAGAGCAAAGAGTTCTGTGAAATAATGTTCTATTCAACTCTTGAATCTGGACATGAGATGAGGCGAAAATGTGCCCTGAAGGCTGTACACTGTGCTTATGTTCACTTATTGTCTACTTTCAGCTCACTGGACTTGGCCAGTCTTCCTCGGCGCAAAAATGCCTCGCGTGAGACGACCTGCATGCTGAAGGCATGGCTGAACGAGCATAAGCGAAATCCCTATCCGACGAAAGGAGAGAAGATTATGCTGGCAATTATCACGAAGATGACACTCACGCAGGTCTCCACGTGGTTTGCGAACGCTCGCCGGCGCCTAAAGAAGGAGAACAAAATGACCTGGACTCCGAGAAACCGCGCCGACGCTGACACTGACGCCGACGCCGAGGACGATGACGACGATGACGATGACGACGATGACGACGACGAGGAGAAGGAGGAGGACGACGATGACGAGGGTGAAGACGAAGAAGAAGAGGAGAAGGAGGTACGTGAAAGAGACAGAGAGAGCAAGTGTGACGGATTAGAGGGTGGGACTGAAAGGAACCCGGAAGGTGAGGCCAACAACGAAGTTTTCGGCCATCAAAGTGGTCGTCAAGCGAGAGGCAGATACGGAGAAGCCGAAAAGAGGAGGTTGGAGGGCTGGGCAGACGAGGTCGGGAGGACGGACAGCGGGGCTTGGGACGCCAACGCCGAAGAGAAAAGACAGAATCACGGCTCGCTCGAGCAGCCAAAGCCCGTCAAAAGTGGCCTCATCAAAGTGGAACACAATTCAATTCCCAGCCCGGTCCGCCAGCAACCACGGCCTCTGGCTCAGGCCGACCGGAGACTAAAGTCGTCTGCTCCACAGGACGGCTCCGAGCGCCCCCTGCTCGTCACTAACTCGTGGGCTCGTCCACTTTGTCCACACGCGGATGGCTCGATGTCAACCTTCGGTTCGAGTCCGGCAACCAAATCGGCCAATGGCGACTGCCTGCCGACGCCCTATTGGTCGCCGGGGCACCTGATGCCGGGCGTGGCCGGTCTCGACGCCAGCCTTCTGATG